GAAAAACATTAATTTAATACATAAAGAATTATTACGTCGTGCATGCATCTATATCTAAAATGTTCTGATTTAGTTGTGTTTGCGCGTCAAAAAAGTTTTCGAAAGTTTCAAGTAGTTGGTTTTTGTTTTGTTTTTTTTTTTTTTTAATTTTGAAGAGGGAGACTTTAAAAAAGTTCTCTATATAGCTTATAAAAAAGAGAACTCAAGAGGTGTACGATCAACGTCAGTGAGTGCATCGAAACAATGTAGTGATGCCTTCGAGGCAACACCTGACTCGTTTCGATCAAGTCGCTGATGATTTCATTTTTCTTCGTGTCACTCACGTTGATGTTACACACACGCACATACGCTAATTTTTGATAAAAATAAATTTTCTTTCTATTTATATACTCGTAAATATGTAAAACTGCTATCTCCGCTTAATTAAAAAGTAATCGCGAGAAATCTCAAAGTCAAATTTATCTTATAACTTATTTTTATTTTTATTGTTATATTTTTATTCAAGCTTGTTTCAATCCGCCTACTCTTGCATTTCTATGTTTTTTTTTATCTTAGCCCAAAGCTCTCTTTTTGTTTCTCAGATGATTAAGGTTTAAAAAAAAATAAAACAATTATGCAATTTGTGTAATTGTAAAATTCAGCTAAAATTGAAAAGTCGCGTGTGAGTTAGAAAAAAAAATTTTCCGCGCGTTTAGATCCAAAGAATCTATCATTTTAACATACTCGTATGTCTCTATAAAAAATAATATAGTTTGACAGCATCAGTTACAATTTGATTATAATATAACCGCGGATTTCCGTTCTACATCTGTTCACTTTAATTATAAAAGATAGAAATATTGCATCTCTCTTGTCTTTTTTCTCTCTCTTTCTCTCTCTCTTTCTCCTTATCGTTTACATGAATAAATTTCACTTAGCAATTTAAGCGCTTGATGCTAATCTAATCTAATCGTGTACGGCATACCAGCTCGCGTGGAGCGTTAAAAAGAAATATTGATGTTTGAGATGCAATGAGATCAAAGAAACGAGATAGTTTATGTCCGCGAAAAATTTAATATAAGGCAATTCTCGTTCGGCGTTTCCTTACATACTATATTTAATGTCTACGCATAAATAAGTCATTTATTAATTTATAATTTTTTGTATTGTTCTTAAGTTTGCTTATATTCGAGAGAGAAGAGAGAGATAGAGAGGAAGGAGAGAAAAAATTACGAAAGGTCCATAAACTCGAACACGCCGACAAAAATACGGGACGCGGAATACTCTTGACGCGACGCTGAAACTCGCATACATATATTGAATACACGTACACACGGCACGGTGTGTATAAGCACCGGCGTGCACGCCGGTCGTCCGCCCCGCGACCGCCGCATTCCAAGGGCTGCCCAAACTAAAGCTTATACCGATACCTTATACTCTTCTCCGAGCTCTCTCCTCTCTCTCTTTTTCTCTTTCCTCTTTCTCTTCTCCCTCCGCGTGTACTTCATTCCAAGATGTCCTCCCTCCTGTGACTCGCTCGTACCCTTTACTCTCTCCCCCTATAGCGCCCCTTTTTTTCATTCCTCCCTCCCGTTTTTCCCCGCTTCTCCTTCTCTATCCCTTCCTGTCGTCTCTCGCGAGGATACGCGCGCCTTGTCGCTTTACTCGGACAAATTTACATATTTCTCCTGTCTTCCTCTTTCTCCCTTTCTCTCTTTCCCTCTCTATCTCTCATTTTCTTTCTCTCTCACTCACTCTTCTTCTGTCTCTTTTTCCTTCTCTCTTGGATCGCGATGTGTCGTACGACACCTGGCACAATCCTCCACCAGAGTCATCGAATTTCACGATCGCGGTATTTCACGAGATTGACGCTCGATGTTTTACTCTTAGTTCGTGTACGGACTGTGTATTTATGTCTTTTTCGACGCGGATTTTTCCGAGACCAATTTTCGGAGGACGCTGATTTAAATTCGACCTCTGACAAGAGTTGACCGCATCCTCTTCTCATTACGAAAGAGTTGAAGAAACATTGGAAAATCATAGGGCAAAGTTAATACAGTTCGGACCAATATTAGAAAAATCGGCTCCAACAATCCTAACTGTCAACGATTTAGAATCCACAAACATTATTTAAAGTTAAGTAAGATTTATCTGAGATGGAACACGTACGTACGTACACGTAGAAAATGACTCGACGCATAGAACTGCATATGTTGGGTTCCATGAATATATATATGTGTGTGTGTGTGTGTGTACACACATACATACGTGTTTTATATGAATATATGCATGTATTTTCCATCGCGATTAAACCTGTATATCTCAGTGTTAACTTTACATGTTGTGCGACTTGAGAGATTCTCAACAGATTGGCAGTTCTAGTGTCGACTAAGATAACTGTGTATGAATTTAAATAAGTAATTACATTGCATGTAAATAAGAAACGAGATCAAGAGACACATATACACTCGCATCGGTATGAGCGTTTTACTTTTTGAACATATTTTGTTAAAAGACAAATCGAACATTATAAAAAAAAAAAAAACACATAATACAACGAAAAAACTTGATCAAATGTTACTCACAAAAAATTGTTCAATGTTGATGGAAAGGGGCACATGTATGTTCTCGTGTCGTCGGGCACATATCTGGGAAGCAAAATTCTTGTGATTGGATATTCCACTAAATTGTCGTCTCACTTACACTGTAGTTTCTACATTCGAAAATACCATGCGTTTTTGTTTGCAACCGCACTTTCCATATCTGTCTATAAAACAAATGAAAAAACAAATCTCATCTTTTGCCCGTCTAAAATCAAAATAGAACGTATCCTACAACAATGTATATTGATTTCTTTATTTTATAAATTCAAACATGCGTGTATATGAGTAATACTAAAAGAATACTAGGAATTTCTAACGATTGCTTGGTAAAAAGTTCTATTTTTAATGACACAAAGAAACTATTATCGCTAACATTCTCTTCACAAAATTATGTGATGTCTCACACACACAAATTCTTGTTCTTTGTGTTCGTACTTCGATATAATTATTCAATATAAAATATATGAGACTCTAACTTCATAAAAAAAAAAACTCTAAAAATATAGAAAAACTCTTGAAAAACTCTTAAAAATAAACTCGCAGTTTCTCTTTGAAACCAATTTAAATTAACAATTTTCCTGAACACAAAATTCTTTTCCACTGTCTTAATATAATACACAGTCGTTCATTTCTAAAGCACGTAATAAAACTACCTACGTGAAAAAAATGATAGTTGAACAAACCTTTCGAGATGTTCCGGCGCATTGGCACGCGCGAGACAAGGCAAGCGCAGCGTGAAATTGTAAACACGCCCGGGCCTTTAAACGCGTCCGTACACCAAATCGCTTTCCGCCGCCGAGATGCCGATCCGATCTGATACCGAGCCGATATTCGCGGTATATGAGGCGCAGCCGAGTACTTTATGATGCGCAAGATATCACTTCCGAATTCGAAAGTTCTGCACGAGATGCACAATGTTCGCGTCGACGTTTTCGTACGCGCGTTTGTCGCGCCTGTTTCTCGCGCCGAGCACCGTGATCGGTGAAGTCGCCGCCGCTTTTCGGCAGCTGTCAATTACCACTAACACAGTTGCCGCGTTTATGCAGCATCCCGAGCCCGCGACCACTTTCGGTCCAGACCGTCGCGAACAAAAAAAAATCGCGCGATTGAAGAAAACCGGCAGTACCGCCATCTACCAATAAATTTCGAAAACTGACACTACTCGCACGCGTTATCGACAACAAATACATACTTATCGACGAAAAGTAAATAAGGCGCGATACAAACCGCGCGACAACAACTGACAAAACGAATTTATCAAAGCGCAAGATTGCACTTCTCATAGTATCGAATAAACAAGCGCGAAAGTAGTGCATTAATGTAAATCATACATGTAAGGCTGCGTTTACTTTGGGCGTTTACGCGCTTTGAGCGTCAGTCTATCTTTGTTCTATATTTAAACAACAATAAAGACAGACTGGCTGCACTAGTTCACAGTCTATCTGTTTTATATATATATATATATATACCGTACTCACGTGACCGAAGTGAGTAACACCGCCGCGGTCGCGCGGCCGAGGTCAGTGACTCCACCGCAGTCGCGTGACTGAGGTCGTTGACCCTCCCCCCCACCAAGGCCGCGCGGCCGCGGTCAGTGACCCTCCCCCACCAAGGCCGCGCGGCCGAGGTCAGTGACATTACTGTAGTATGTATATAATACATATAATACAATATAAAGTATAATATTATAAATATATAATAAATTATATATATATGTATAATATAATTATAAATAATATTACATATAATATAAATTACAGTCACGTTATTTTCACGTGTTGTTTTTCTACTCTTTCCTGTTACGTGACTTTAGTTACGTTTTTAATTGTCTCTACATATACGACGAACTGTCTCAAAAAATCGCTTTTTATTATTTACTCTCTCGATCTTACCGATTCGATTCGACTCGATTAACCAACCAACCAATCGGCAACGCGGAAAAGAGGCAACAATAAGTGCGATATATTCGACTCCAAATGCGTACTTCTCGGTCTAAATATAAGATAATTATCTGTTAAGCCTCTTGCACAATGGACGGAATAGCAATAGCGATAGAAATAACAAAAGTTTTAAAGAGTTTATATTTAAAAATAAAGGTAGAAACAGCGGAATCTAACATACAAAACTACACATGTATCAATGCAGATCAGAAAATCGGAATAAGCAATAGCGATAAAATTTCCGACGAGTTGGAATTCTGTGTTAAAAATTGTGTTATTTCTATTGCTATCGCTATTCCTTCCATTGTGCAAGGGGCTTTAGGCTGGATCTTCATGCAGACACCGGCGCTTTGACACCGAACGTTGATTGGTGAAAAGCAGGTGGTGAGGATAAATTAGAGCTGCCATTTACCTTCACTATCCGCTTTTCACCAATCAACGCTTGGTGTCAAAGCGCCGGTGTCTGCATGAGGATCTAGCCTAATAATTTCTACAACCCCAGATATTCGGGGTTGGTTGGTGCAGTTGTGTGTAAATTTACTCGATAGTGATAATTTTTAACGGTAGTAGTGGCTGATAGATAGTTTTTTTAACAATTTAAATAATTTATATTTGAATGCTCGAAAATATGAATGCTTTACGTTCATGTATCAAGACTATCGTTCTAAGTAAAGGAACGCGATCTATAAATTACGAAGGTTAGATACGGAAGAAAAGATGAAACAAAAAGATTTATCACAAAAATGTGTATTATTACAATTATGTATAATCGAGCTTGAAAATTACAGGACAGAGATATATCAAAAGATGGGTTCGTCCTACATTAATAGAAATAACCAACCGCAAAAAGAGGTTGGGTCCACAACCGGAACAAAAACGCAACACCTTTCTGGAATGGAATAGATCTGCAGAAATTTTTGCATTCAACAAAAGACTGTCTGAGAAATTTGACGATGAAAAGTTAGAGCAAGCGTTTACACACAGATCCTACATTTTTCAAGAAGAAAAAAAGCAAAAAGATATGGGAATAGAAAATCCTCAGCTTGAGATGCAAGATAATATGGATCTTATTCTGAAGGGAGAAAAACTCACATCGGAAATTGTTTCTAGTTATTTAACTCAAGTTTTACCAGATACACCTGAAGATATTATAATGTATGTAATCGCAAAATTTTCTCTAAGTACAAAAGAAATATTGTTTTCATTGTATATATAAAAAGAAAATAATTGAAAACTAACAATATATCTTTTTTTAGTACATTGCATGATTATCTTGTGTCTGAAGAAATTCTGGCTCAAGCAGCCATTCATATTGGAAGCAAAGATATAATTTTAAGTGAAGTAAGTACAAACAAAACAAATAATAAAAAAATACATTTAATAATCTAACATCTTTGCGTAGAAAAATAAACCAATTTAATTTATTTCTTTACTTTTCTAGGAATATCCTCCTTCACAAAGGACTTTAGCTGATACCTTTTTGGCGCTTGTCGCAGCACTTGCTGAAAGTGTAGACGCGAATCATGCAGCTATTTTTGTTAGAGACTTTTTAATCGTAATATTGGGCGAGAAGGATCTAATGGAAATATGGAGTCCAGCTCAGCCTGTTAAATATTTAAATGCAGTCTTACATAAACAAAACAGGTCGTCAGTCGAACCAAGACTCATAGGACAAACAGGACCGACTACGCTTTTATCTGCTTATCACATTGGATTATATTCTGACAAACAATATCTAGGTTCAGGTAAATGTTATATATAGTAATAAAAACTACGTAATCTTAATGTTTTGTATCATTATATACTCTAACATTTTTATGTTCTATCCATTTAGGATTTGGTCAGACAATCCAGGAAGCCAAGGATATAGCTGCCTTAAGTGTTTTAAGCGAAATGTTTGGTTTATCAGATTCTAGTAATCCGATCAAATTTAACAAAATAGTGAATGTATCTTCCTAAAGGACAAGTTAAAATTTACAAGTATTTAGCAATAATATTAAGAATACATAATTTCTTGTACATATACAAAATATAAGATATTTATAAAAGTTTAAACTTCCTGCAACTATCTATACGTATAAAAATAAATACGTTATTTACTGTCAATATTAAAAATCTATTTCACTTAGCAAATATTATTTTTGTTATTGTCAGCAAATTTTGGAACGCATACAACAATATGGCATTTTTCCATTGCGATGCGCGATTGGTTGGTTCTTCGATGAAGATAATTTTACACAGCACCGCAAATCCATTCAAATGAACTTCCAAACCTATCCCCACGTTCGTGAAGTACTACACGATTAGTGGACGGTTGGCAATGACAGAACCGTCCAATAACCGTTGACGAAACCTCGTTGAAAATGCGACCAACGACGATTCTTTACGTTCCTACTCGCGAGAGGACGCCACCAACGGAAGAGTTCGCGCATTACATATCTTTGCGTAAGCTTTCATACATACATATATATTCTATATGATCTTAGTTGACCGAAAACACGCGTGTTGTAAATGCACATCGAGCCAGAGACAAGCCTCTTCTGCGATCTTGTCGACAATTATAATCTTCTTGGCATCTCTCTTTCTTCTACTTCAGAGAACCAGAATATCGAGTTTGCGTTACTCAGAACCTCGCCCAGATCGTATTAAATTTTTTTTTTTTATTTTTCCAATAGAGTTTTATTTCCATAATTTATTTTTATTTCTGCGCACGTATATATTAAAATCAGCTTCGGTTTATTGTTTCTTGATGTTATCATCGGGGGAAAAACGAGACAATAGTTCTCGTATTATGAACAGCAGAAGTACGGCGCAAGATTTTTTTTGCTACAGCAGAAACTCATTAAACTTTAAATGTCAAAATCCAAACTTCATTAAAAATTCAATTCTATTCTTCTTTTTTTTCCTCTCTTTCTCTTTTTTTTTCCTCGGTGTATAACTTTTACAAGTATTTGATATAAAGGAGGGTCTCTGCGGAAATTTTATAAATATTTAATAAAAGGTTTTTCTCCCGATGATATACAGTTTCTTTGCAAAATGTATTTTTGTTGCTTTTTGACGAGGACGCGCACACTGAGAGAAGACGTGCGATATCGAAGAGTGAAAGCGATATCATAATGAAATTGTCGTATCGAATTCACACAAGGCGCGAGGATATGGTTAGAAAGCTATATCGTATAATATAAAGAGCCTTCGCACGCGAAATAACAATCAAGGTACGAATATATAATATACACGTAGTGATTTCTGGCAGATGGCACCGAAAATGAATTTCCGCGAACTGCTGCAGCGGTCACAAACCGCCCGTCCTCGCTTTAACATCGGCGCACTGCAGCAGAGCTCTACGTTTGACGATGACGACGCTCTTGTGGAAATGATGCAACTAATGGGACTGACTATTCAGCTGCTAACGCCCGTAATGCATGTGTGCCGAACGGTACGAATGGTGTTTGCATCCGTCGGCAGATGCAGCGGCCGTTTGTTAAATGACAAAGACACATCGTTCATACAGACAGAGAACGCGACAACGAAATCGAATAAAGAAACATTGTCGGGAAAAATCAATACGAAAGGGAACGCGCTCGAGCGAAGCTACGTATAAAGCGTGTTTCGATTTTTGTTTGTTTCTACATTTTTCTTGTTGCACGAAAGTTCCGAACAAAATATTTAAAATAATGCCCACGTACGAAAGACGTCTTTGTCTCGTTTTTTTTTTTTTTTTTTTTTTATACGTACGAAAGCAAACCTACCATATCACACTTGTATTTTTGACATTGTTTATCGTCTGAAAACCGTGTGACCTGATCATTTATATTTTTCAACATAAACTCTCTCTTCAGCGCATTCTTCATCAACGTGCAATCATGCCGCGCGCACTTTTCACAAGTGTATCATCAATTTCTCATAATCGCGTTTTATGCCGCAGATTTTTTGCAGTACGTATATGCATGTACGCGCAAAAAGAGCTATTCGACGCATGCAAAGTGTTACTACGAGTCACGCCTTGATAACCACCGTTGCTATTGCTGTAAAAATCATCATCTTATGTATACACATACTATACGCGTATATACTTTTCTAGCTGTATCTCGCGAATGGCGGCGACCAGACCGTAGTCGCGAGGATCGATTTCGCGAATAATGGAAACGCAAATAAAGAAACGACTGTTCGAGCGTCACTCTTGTGCGCGTTTACAAGTTCTCGCGCTTTTAACGACGGAATGTCCCCTGCAGGAAATGGCGGTCAGCGTCGCTCCTCATACATTTTTCCGGAATCGAACTGAGAATTGTTCTTTACGCGAGAATATCGCTCTTTTTTACGTGAAAACTCGACCGTGATTATATATTCGCTCGGGAACGAGGTATTCTCTCTCTTTGTGAAAAAAAAAAAAAAAAAAAAAAATGATCGTTGCACTTCGCGTTTTGTCACGCGGCGGTGGCTTCGTGTTGCGAAAGATGGTTATATCGAACGACGTCGCCCGGCAACGTCCGCGTACGTACGCTTTACACAGAGTCCTAGAAAAGTCCTAGAAACTTGGTGAGTTATTTCGGTCATCCGTCACAATCCTCGCGATGCGAAAAGACTTTTCCGAGTTCCGGAATGATCGAGAACAATCAGCCTTTTACAAACAAGTAACAAAGTTTTACTTAGACCTGGATATTAAAAATTTTCTGACAAAATCCACGTTTTGAAAAATAATTTTTCGAAAATATCGATCGAAAGTTTTGAATTAATATTCATACGTCTCTTCCCACACAGAACAAAAACCCCATTGGACGTCTATTAGACGTTGACAGCTCCATGTGACATCTAATAGATGTCTAATTAATGAATGTCTGGATGGATGGATGTCTGTGTGGGTTTGTCTCAAATCTATGCTATACAGATGTATTTGTTTATAACAATGTTCCATTTTTCTCGATATCGCGTATACAGTAGAACCTCCCAAAATGTATACAAATCCACTCTCAAAACGTATATTTTCCCCTTCATTGTTTTTCCCACCACTAAAGGTTGCAACCAAAACTGCGCTAGCGTTTGCGCATTTATACCAAGTAAGTCTTTGCGCACGCGTGAGTTAAAGAATAAGGGAATAGGAGAAGTATACGTTTTGGAAAGTTCTACTGTATCTCGTACAACACAGATATGATTTATTTCAAAAAGTCACAAATAATAAAAAAAAAAAAAACAAAAGTGATGCGTTGCATTAAAATTTTAAGAGCAAGCGGGAGTTCATTTCTTTTCCACCGACTGAAACCTCTATTCCAGTAAAAAAAAAAAGAAACAAAAAGTGCAGTAGGTTTTTTATCGAGGTCTCGTTTTGATGCATATCTTCATCTAAAAACGTCTAATGCGGGATCGTAAATGCAGAAAGTAATATTCCGCGGCGAACGGGAAGCGTTACATTGCTAACGGGAAACGTATATTGCTAGTTGACGGCGACACATAAAAACAAAACACGTTCGAGTTTCCGATACACACATCGCGTCCAGTGTGTGTCTTAATAACAGTAGATTGCTGAACCACGCACATCAAGTTTTATTAATATTTTTTGACACACGCACACACACGCACACGCACGCGCGCGCAGAACAAGTATTTTACGTTACGGTGCAGAGTACGTACGTAGCGAGTTTGTCATATTTTACTTGATTCTGAGTTTCGTGATTTTATATTCATTGTAGTATAGAATTTTTATGCGGCGGTCTGAATCTCTATTATATATATATCGCATCTACACGACTTACAAAAAACTTTCATTTCTGTATTATTTTTATGTGCGTATCGCAAGGGAACTCTCTATCAAAATGTACATACATATATATTAGAGAAAAAGAGGATCTCGCGTATAACAAAAAATTATATTTGTAGTACATAAATTACAAATTACAATCGAGAGGTTACAATAATAACGTAAGAGCGCATAACGCGTCGAAGTTTTCTTCACAAATATATGTACATATATTAACCTCTTATCTCTTCCATTATAACTCTCGTTATTGGTAGGTTACATGTACGTAACCTAATAATAAAAGAGTATAACGTCTCCTTTATTCCGCGCGTACAAGTAATTTAATAAAACCGACGGGTATACTTACTTATCCGTTCTTGGAATCGAGACCTATTGCCGTCGCGAACTAAATGTACCTACATATGCAATTAAAGTTTCGAATTATATAGTATTGCGCGCGCGGTTGTTAAATTCGTCAGTTTAGTTACCCGTGCCAAAATGTGAACCTCGCTCGATATTGTCCGGTCACACAGAATCCTTTTATCGCGAACGTTCCCTTTACGTTACGTACAGCGTTCTCTTTTTTTTTTCTTTTCTTGTTTTTTTGTTTAATATCAAACCGTGTGCAATTTCGCGTTCCCCAAAAAAATTCCGGAACGCGCGGAATATTATAAATCACCGAAAAATATATATAAGGACTTTGTCCGAATTGTCGACAACGCGATTGAATGCCATCCGAAATTTTTCTATATCGCGCTCGGTCGCAGGTATAATATTGATTATTTATGATCCACGCTATCCCCTTTAAGGTGGTTCATCCTTGTCCCCGTCCGCGCGCCGTACCACCCCGCGTTACCACCACTTCCACCGGTTCGCGTCTGTCCTTGTCCGCCTGTTTTCCCTCTCTCTCCGTTGCTCGTCTCTTCCCCTCTCTCCGTCACCATTCTTTCATCCCTCCTTTTCGCGCGCGCAATCGCTCGCTCGCTCACTCGCACGCTCATGCGCGCACACATACACGCGCACGAACACACGTAAAGACTAACATGAGCGTTCTCTCTCTCCGTCTCATATTATTCCCCTACTGGCTCTCTATTCCTGCGTGTAACGACTCAATGGTGCTCTGCCACACCCTTGCGCCATCCAGTAATCAGTGCTATTGTTTTATAGTTCCTCTTCTTCTATTGCTTCTCGATACTAGGAAAGGCGACCCATCGATCCCCGGTTTCCTCGCTTCACCTCGCCAATCCACAGAGAAGAACCGGAGCCGAGAACCGAACGAGAAAAGAGCGGTA